AAAGAGCACAAAACCAAGAGGATGCATCCAGATGTTGCCAGTTTCTGTATGGACAGGAAGATGCTCTTGGAACAAGCCCAAAAGGAGAACACGGGTGGTCTCTGGCCCTGAAATAGGTAGTCACTGTCCTTGAGCCAGTTGAGGAGCACATCGTACGGGAGGACCCTCCAGTGTCCCTCCCAGACACCGCACAGAAACTTCTCCACCTTCTCCACAGCACGCTGGGCCTGCAGGGGGAGCGCCTGCATCTCCTCCTCTTCTTCTTCTTCCTCCTCCTCCTCCTCTTCCTCTTTCTGGGGAACAGGGCATGTCTGCTCATCTTTGGCCTTGGTTGGGTTGGCAATGACCTGCTTGCCCTTCTCTTCCAGCGCAGGTCCCAGCTCAGCCAGTTCCACCATGTAATGTCCCTGTTACTGGCAGGGGTCCCACTGCCCTGTGCCACCAAAGATCCTTTGTGGGGAGACATCTGGCTAGTACCTCAAGACCTTGCAGCTTCAGCTTGGGAGAAGATTGGGGTCTTCCAGCCCCAAAGGGTAGAGACCTCCCAGTGATGGCAGACAGGCTACACCAGCTGCGAGCAGGTGATGCTGGGGACTGCAGTACCCTGCACTACATCCAGAACCCCATGCCACATCCCAAGGTGCTGGTGTGGCCCTGGGCCAAAGATGCTCAACAGCCTCCCCGAGCCGGAAGGGACACGCCCCTGCCAGAAACAGATTTTTTTATGTAGCCCATAAACGACAATTCCGAAAGTGCTCTGAACAAAGGCAATGACACTGTCTCCATGGTGGCAACTCAGCAGGGAAGGCCAAGGTCACTCAGACACATAGGACACAATCCACGGCTTGTCTCAGGTAGGGTCATTACTATAGTAAAGCTTGGCAGATTTTTCTCTTAAGGGTGGTTTAAAAAGAAAAGCATGAACACTCCACCAAGATGCCCCAAAACCTCCATCTTTGCCAAAATAAATACTGATGAGTGGAGGAACACTTGCCTAGGATAAGCATGACCCGGGGTCCAAACCCCAGTACCACAAATAAATAAATACACAAATTTTAAACTTTTCAATCACATCACCGTAAAACCAAAATTTACCACATTGTGATTTAAAAAAATTAGAACACTCAAACTTGCAAAATCAAGACTATATACACAGTTCTTTGTTGTTTCTGTTTTGTTTTGTTCTGCTTTTAGATAAGGCTTCCTTGTGTTGCCCAACTGGTTTTGAACTGCTGACTGAGCTCAAGTGACCTCCTGCCTCAGCCTCCCAAGAAGCTGGGACTAAGCCTATGCCACACTGTGCACAGTACCTTGCCCTAGAGGTTTCAAAGTAAGTCTACAGGTTGAAGCTGAGTTTTTCCAAGGTTCTACCAAGTATGATCTCCAGTTCTCACCTCATCAGGAAATGCAAAGGACTTCATCATCTTCTTCGTTTCCTTTAGTCCAATGTGAGTTCATAGCATACTATGGCAGGGTACAGGAGCAAAGGGTTCTATGCCACTAAGTCATAATTGCTCACTGCCGGTCACTATCCAGGCCTAAGACTAGGGAGCTGGCCTCACAGGCTGTGGAGAGTCCTAAGTACCAGCAGGTTGCAGATTTCCCCTGCTTTTGTGCCTCCAGATCCCATGAATGGAGAATGCCAGACAACTCCCCTCTTTAGGAAGGCCCGGTAACAAGTGCCACTGCCCTGACGGGCATGTTGGTGAGTGAATGGGAGGAGCTCTGTGGTCCACAGGATGCCACACTGAGATTTACGGTACTGGTTATGAGCAGCTGACCTACAGGAGAATCTGGCCTTTCAGTAACATCAGAAGACTTTGCACAAGTATCTACACTTCCGGCTCCTTTTACAGAACATGGTAGTCCAGAAACATGGTCAGTGGAACCATGTCCTGGGTCTATGGTCAGTGGAACTATGTTCTGCATCTACTCTTTGCAGACCAGTCCATCCCAGTGGACTGCATCCAGCCTCCATCGGCTAAGTTTACCCCACTTGCTACAATCCCCAGCTAAACTATGGCCCGCACATTCTCCATCTCTGCCTGCTGTCCCACTCGGCCTTTCTCCAAAGAGAGGGGACCCTGGGCTAGCCAACCATTTCCTCCAAGGGTGGTCCACTCGCACTTGCCCCAGGGTGACATCCTGGGCTACAGAGCTTTTTCTAACCTCCCTGTCATCAGCAAAACATCTGTGCTTCATCCAGCTCCTTCCTAGTTTGGTTCTGCTGGATTCTTTTGTTTCAGCCAGGGGACCTCTAGCAATCTGATAAACTAATCAGTGGAAATGAACTAGGTTATCTTCCCAACAGTCATTTCTGAAATGAATTCCAGACTTTCAAAATACACCCCAGCCTCCCCCCTGAGGAACCTACCTACCTGTGGTCAGCAATCCACCAGGCTTCTAAGTTTATACGGCTCATTCTACGCATAGTATCTGCCATCTACTCACTAGGAATACTCAAGTAAGGAAAAAGGAACCCACTACGCACATTTTCTGTGGTAATGGCTAATTTAGGTTTACTCAAATATTTCTGCATGCTAAACTCACAGATATCTTATGAATCACAATTTCTGGGAACAGAGAACATAGCAGACCTGCAGACAAGAACATCTGTCCACTGACAATCCAAACTAGGCAGGACCATGACAGCAGACCTTCTTTTGCAGATGATGAAAAAGCCAGATTTTACAAGGAAACAGTGTACACTGCTACCAGTTAACGCTAAAGGCAACTTCTGTACCATGCTAAACATCCACAAAATTGTAAAAACATGCAGAGATTTAACTAAATAAATAAATAAATAAATAAGGGCTTGGGATTTTGCTCAGTGGCATAAGCACCTGCCTGGCACGCTCAAGGTCATGAGTTCGATCCCTGTTACCAAACATAAATAAATAAACAAACAAACAAACAAACCTCTTTAAGCCTACTAAACAAAAAGAGTCCACTATTATCTGTTCATGTTCTTAGTTTTCCCAAGAGGAAAAAGTGTTCCAGTGTGGGTTTTCAGGAGAATATGAAGTGAACTATTGTACCCTGTGTTCCTAAGTCAGAAAGGACAGCCTGTGTGTGAGTCAACAACTGACTAAGTCTAGCTAGGACCTTGGCTACAGATACGGCGCCTTCCTGAAAGAGTAGGCACACACAGGTCCACAGTGTGGGCGCTCCTCCTCCAGCCTAAGGACCTCTGCCTCTGCCGCTTCTGAGTCACACCCATGGATGGAACCATCCCTTCCCTTCCCTTCCAGTTCTGAGAAACTGAGGGATACAACTGGGCAAGCTCAGATAGGTGTGGGACTCAAAGAACAGCTTCATTTGGCTCAATGGACTTTAATGGACTCTTATATAAGGAGGAAATAGTATAACAGGAGTTTCTAATTTTGTAAGATGTTCATGCACCCTTGTAAGGCAACTGCACTTATCTAATGAATAGAATTTTTCAAAGTCGGGGAAGAAATGATTCATTTAATTTTGGCCAAAGTACTGTGGATCTGGGAGATCTATCAATGGCACAGCACCTATTTCAGGACAGCCAGCTGTTTCGAGGATTCCGCCACTGAACTGTGGCCTCAAGAACCCTATGTGATGGCAGACAGTTTCCTGGAACCCACACGGCCCCACCTGTGCAGGTGGCAGGGGAGTCCATGGACAGGTACATCACACCTGTCCTGCAGTCAGCCAGCTCTGCAAAGGCCTAGGCAATGACTCTTCTGCATCCACGCGACAGTGGGCCAACCTAATCACCGAGTTTCCAGGTCTCCAGAAATAGTCATCCTCGGTTACTTTTTAGTTTGCCCTGTGAGATCCAGGAGTTTAAGAAGGGCAAGTCAGTTCTCTCCAGGTACCACTCAAGTAGTTAAATCTGGTAAAATTTCCTAAGCTCTTGATATAAACACCTTTCCTTCTTTCCTTCCTTTCTTTTTTTAGAAATATTGAACCACAGAAAATACAGCAATTCCAAAGAGCCAGGACTTACACTGGCCAGGAGCCAAGTGCAGGCGCCTCACTCAAAAGCTCAAAAGCTCAGTGTAAATAGTTTTCAGCAAGGTCCAGAAAATAACGTGGAGTAGGCTGACATCTTAAACCCTTAAAACTGGAGGAGGAAGTTTATTTATGGATGAAATATTCTCTTAGGTGGGGCAAAGGTGACATAATTTCAGACTGTATAAAAAGTAAAGGCTCTGGCCGAGACTTTTTTAAAAGATTTTGTTTGTTTTCAAGCATTCTGTTAAATACATAGCGCTGTGTGGGAGGCAGCGTCCGGGCTTGGGGAGTCGGTTCCATGGGCCCTTGCTGGGTCCGGCACCCTGGTCCGGCGGGTTAGGGGTTCTCCGCGAGTCCCCTGGGGGTGTCGCTCCACTTAGCTGTACTTTCACATCCTTAAACACCAGCGACCCAGAAGAGGACGCGTCCGCCCACCTGGGCGGGAGTACTGGGGGAAAAAACGGGTGGAAACTAGGAACCTCGCAGAACTTTTTCCCTCTGGCTCTCCGGACGGGCTGCCAATCTCTGGGAAACAGAGTCCGAGCTTTTCTGCCTTGGAAGGAAAACGACACCATCCGGGAGCCGGAGGGCTGCGGCTGAGGTTATGCGGCGGAAGGGGGTGCGGCTGGGCTGCAGTCCCGGAGACCGAGAAAGTCACAGCCGAGTGGGAGAAGGCGACGGGTCCCTGCACCTCAGGTCCCGATTAGGGAGCCCGAGGACTCCGGCACTCGCCAGCGCGGCCGCGCGCGACCCCGGGGTCCCAGCCCTGCGCCAGGCGGGTCCGCTCCCCTGCCAGGTGGCCCTGTGCGCCCCGCCAGGTGCGGCCCCACCTGCGCCCCAGGGGACTAATGTGCCTCCGTCGCCCCAGCGGCCGGCAGCCGCCGCAGCCCACCTCGGAAAGTTTCGCGAAGTGAAGGAAAGTTTTCCTCGGCCACTCGATCCTTTCCCCCGATCCCGGCGACACAGAGCGGGGAGCCCCACGCCCTGGTCCCGCCCGGCCCGGCCAGACTCACCATGGTGACACGCGCCTCCGTCCGTCCGGCCCGGACGCCTGAGAGCTAACGAGCCGGGGCTGCACCAGAATCTCGGGGCAAACTTCAAAAGTTGGTTCCAGTCGCCAAAATCAGGCTCCCGACACCCAAGCGCTCACAGGAGCCAATGGGAGCCCAGGAGGGACCCCATGCGCGGGGATCGGCGCTAGGTGAGTGCGACGCCGGAGTTCGGCAGGCGCAGCGCGCGATCGGGCACCGGAGCACTCGGCCCCGCGTCTGGCGCCCGCTCCGCGATGCGCCCAGGTCCCCGCCGCGATCCCCGCGGCGCACTCTGCTGCTCGGATGCACTCTGGCCCGCCCGGGACCTGGCCATAAATGGAGAAGTCGGCGCGCGCCCGGCCAATCAGCGCGCAAGCCGCGGCGTCACCGCCCACTGCACGGTGCGGCCGGGGCGCGGGGGCTGCTGGGGCTTGTAGTCCGCGTGCCCCTCTGCGGGGACCACTCCCCCCCCCCCCCCCAGGCAGCCACTGCAGAGACGCGGGCTGCCCGGACGGAGTGGTGGGGTTTGCCTACAAGCTCTTTATTTTTATTTTTTTAAAAAGGAATATTCTATCGGCGTAAAGGGCAGCGTCGGGCCAGCAGCGGAACAGGAATTCTTGCCTCTGTCTGGAGGCTGAGGGGAGGCAACCACAGCGTCTCCCCCACCCCTTTCTACCTGGATTTCTTCGGGAAACAAAGGACGCCGGACGCCGGGCGGGGAGCGGGGAGGAGGGAAAACGGTGAGTCCACGCCCTGGCAGCTCCTGCCCGGGAGGACATCGGACTGAGTCTCAGTATCAGGAAATCAGGTGGGCAGCGGGGGTCCGTAGTGGGGGGCCAGGGTGGGGTGGGGAGTCTGATTTTATCATGTGCAAGCCTGCGGGTGTCACCTGGGGCTGCCCTAGAATCTGCAGGGACGCACGCGGACACCTCATGGAGCTGGATGCTCAGCTTCTGCTTGCATAGGAGATCACAGAGCGGCAAAGAACTTCAGCATGACCTTGCCCGGAAAGGGCGCAGAGCCAATGCGCTGGAGCCACTCGGTGGGCCACCTGTCGCCTGCCACGGAAGGAGTGCGCTGCTAACCTGTGCCACCGCAGGCAGCGACCTCGGAAACCGCGTAACCCAAGAGGCGAAGCACAGAACTTCGGGCACCGCGGGATTCTGTCTGTATGAGGGTAGAGACTGAGAGAGTCCATCAGCATTTTTGCAGGTGCTAGTTGGGGCTTGGATGGGAAACTGCAGTGGCTATCAGTTCTTACTGATGTGACGAAACGGTTCTGAAATTAGACAGTGTTCATGGTTATAAAACTTTGGGAGTGTCCGAAAGCCCACCGAGTTATACATTTTTAAAAAGGAGCATTTTATGGCATGTGAATTGTATCTCAATTTTTTTTTTTTTTTTTTTTTTTTTTTTTTTGCGGTACTGGGGATTGAACTCACCACCTCGTGCTTGCCAGGCAGGCGCTTATGCCGCTGAGCTAAATCCCCAGCCCTGTATCTTAATTTTCTAAACTGAAAAAAAAAAAAAAAAAAAACTTTGTTGTTATTCGTTCACACACAGCAGCAAATATAAGTGAGTGCCTGCCACAGGACATGGGACATGCCAGAGGTGCAGCTGATCCTCGTTGAGCTCAAGGTTTAGAAGTGGGGAGACAGATAATAAACTGAAAAACAGTAGCTGGGCATGGAGGCACACACCGACAGTCCCAGCAATTCAGAAGGCGGAGGGTTGCATGGCCCTAAGAGTTGGAGGCCAGGTTGGCAGCACAGTGAGAAACAAAATGCTTGCGACAGCGTGCCAGTGGGTTTGTATGAGGCACTGCCACACGGGGAGGCCTAGTTCAGGTGAGAAGATCCAAGGGGAGCAGTTGGGGGCACAGAAAGGAACCGATCCAATTTGTTCAGTCTGTTCATGTGCAAAGTGACACGTGTGTAAAGGTGGCCACCAGGTGTGACTCCTTTGTCCTTCCTCCACCCGTATGACCCAGGTCAGGGAGACTGGGGCTTGGGTGAGCTCGATGGGCTATGGCCCCGCGGATCATGCGGGGAGCTGTGGGGCTTTGGACACCTTCCCTGCAGGGCAGGTTCAGAGTACCCATGGAATTCTCCGCCACACCACATGTGCCGGGCACGGGCAGCCTCCGCTCTTAGTTACCCACATCACGCTTCTCCAGGTCTCTGTCTGTCACTGTGCGATGCTTGAAGCAGAGAGATTAGAACTGAGCTTAAGGCTAAAAGCAGGGGCTCCGCTTGGATTCTCGGGACAGAACCCATTGACTCATGCTGGGATGTGGCGTGGGGCTGTGTGCCTCGGGACACAGCCTGGAATCTCGTCAACCATCTCCCCAGGTCGGGAAACCGTGTTTCAGTTTTGGCTGGGGTAACCTGGTTTACATCTTTTTCTCAGTGACCTTTCTCTCCTTCCCTCTCTCTTTTTCACGGTGAGGTCTCACTGTATTGCTCAGGCTGGGCTTGGACTCCTGGCCTCAAACCATCCTCCTGCCTCAGCCTCTCCAATGCCGGAACTACAGGCCTGCCTCTGCCATTTTCAGTGAGCTTATTGAGTGTTCCTCTTTTTCATTCCCCTAGCATCTCATTTTGAATGATAAGTGATATCATCACCCCAGAATTTTGGCCAAATCATTCATATATCTCTTTCTATATATATATAGATATAGATAGGTAGATAGATAGATAGATATGTCAAGTTATATTCTTAAAAATCTTCACCTTTCCAGGCATGGTGCCACACCTAACCCTGGCTACTCAGGAAGCTGAGACAGGAGGATCACAAGTCTGAGGCCAGGTTGACAACTTAGTGAGACTTTGTGTCAATATAGAAAGGCCTGGGGTTACAGCTCAGAGCTTCCTGCTTTCTATCCCCAGCACCATAAATACAAAACAGAACCCCTTGCATTGCAAAGTAAGTACTTTCCCATTTTCTTGATTTGCATATATTTTCAGAGGAGTCTATAATATAGTTTTGGTTTTGTTTTGGTGATCTTTAAATTTATTTCCAATTTTTATTTGATTTTATTTTTGTGCTGGGGAGTGAACCCAGGCCTATGTATGTTAAGCAGGTGCCTGACCTCTGGGCTATCCTCCCAGGCCTGGGCATTTATTGGTGGGGTTTTTTTGGTTTTTTTGTTTTGTTTTGTTTTTGTCAGACATAGTCTCCACACTATGCACCTTAGGCTGGCCTTGAACTCACTATATACCCCAAATTGGCCTGAAACTTGTGATGATATTCCTGCCTCAACCTCCAAGCCCTATGATTACAGGATATTTATTCTTATTCTAGACCACAGAAGCTGTGAAGTGGAAGCAACTTTCACAACTGTAAAACTTACTGTAGACACATGATGGTGCTATTCAGATAAGACTTTGTACATACCTCGGTGTGATCAACAGCGCTGTATCTGGGGCCGAATGAAAGAAATCAAGATGGGTGAAAATATAATTTCCCATCTAACTGTGTTAATGAAAACAAAAATACTATTGGCACCTGCTGATAAGCAATCAGCAAGAAAATAATAACAGGCAATAAAACGAGTTTTCATATCAAGTTTTTCATAATAAAATTCTGAATGCATTCATAGCAACAAAGGTAAAGTAAAATTTGTTAGTGGAAAAATTAGGCCAGAAACTGGAACAAGACACTGGTGAAACACAGACTTGTGTCATACAAACCTGAAAGGTCCTTCACACTCCCTGTTTCTACCATAACAGGCATCTCTGATTAATTTGGCTAGGTATTAACTGCTGAGCTAAATGCTTAACATCCAGAATCTTCCTCAGTCTTCCATACATGCCTGTTAGCTCCACTTGCAGTAGACAAACCAAGTTTAAAAAGCTTCAGATAACTCAGATAACCTAAGCAGGCATTTAGCTACCTACCACCAAATCCACACTTCTGCCTGGCTCTTAAAGCCCAAACACTTAGCTTGTAGGCAGATGTCCTTCAGAAGAGAGCTTCCCCTCTGCAGGAATGGAACAAACTTTGCTGAAGCCGTGAGCTTCCCTAGACTGGAGCTCCTGGAAAACTTACTGCTTTTTAAGTAGGATTTGAGAATTGCACTTGGGAGCTCTGAATGTAGTTCAGCGGTACAGTGTATGCTTGGCATACAGGAGGCCTTGGGCTCAATCTTCAGCATCAAAACACCAAAATAAAATATATTACATTTGCAGCACATCTTTAAACCCTCCTCCCACTATGTCAAAATTGCTTTATTTGAAACATATTGAAAAGATATGCATTGGCTGGATGGTACACACTAGGAATTCCAGCGCTTGGGAGGCTGAGATTGAAGCCAGCCTGGGCTACATAGTGAGCTCAAGGCCAGCCTCAACTACACAGCAAGACCCTGTCTCAAAAAACAAACAAACAGGTATGCAGTGGTGGACAACATGGTACCACTTCTGACTCATGTATTTTTGCTATGTTTATTTTATTGAAATAAATGAGAAATTAAATAATAAGTTGGTGACTTACTAAAATATGTCCACATAGATTTGTCATATTTTTCTGATATTTTTTTTTCTTTCTTCCAGTTCCAATTTTACTTTTACGTTCAGAAGCTAAACCCTGACCTTTCTCCAGACTCAAAAATCCTTCCTTCCTCCTTCTTCCTTCTCCCTTTCCTTCTTTCCCTTTTGCTTTGTGCAGTGCTAATGAAGGGACCCGGAGGCTCCCACGTACTTGGCCAGTCTGCTGCCATGGAGATGCACCCCCAGCTGTCCCCAGACTGACAGTTAATGAGCCCAGTGCTCCACGACCTGCCTGGCAATGTGGGTCCCCACACAGGAGTTTTGCACACTACATCTGTTGGTCAGCTGCATGCCGACACCTTGGTTTGCTTTCTTTCTTCTTCTGCTTCACTGTTTTATTTTTTGTTGGCTTTTTCTATATTCTTATAAATCATCTTCTATTCTTTGCTGAAATAAGTCAAGACACACATCAATACAAATATGCATTTTAAAAGGTGAAAAATAACAAAATCACTGAATCAAACTTGCCTTGTACAAACACCAACACTTTCTTTAACCTGGAGAGAAGGGTGTTTGAAGTAAACTGCACGCTTCATTGCCTGCTGAAAATAGGCTGCCAAGCAGCCTTCGCTTGAAGATGGGAAGGTCGCTGCTGTCAAGATTCACGGTCCCGTGAGTCCCGGGGAACCATCGTGTTGCCACCACACTCCAAGCCCTAGACTCCTGTACTTCCCCTGTTCTTCCTTTTATTTATTTCTGAAGCTCTGCCTTCCCTTGTTAGAAACCTTTTCTTCCTGCTATTTGTTGTTCTGATTTAGTGTCTTTTCAAAATAGGAGCAGAGAAGAACATGAGTTGCCTGCACAAGGAATGTGCTTTTTTGTCTTTTTGAAACAGGATCTCACAATGAAGTTCAGGCTGGCCTTGAGCTTGCTGTGTAACTCAGGCTGGTCTTAAATTCGCAACAATCCTCCTGCCTCAGCCTCCCGAGTGCTAGGATCACAGGCATGAGCCACCCCTACCCCCTCCCCACCCCCGCTCTGGCACTGTTCTTAGAAAAGCGATCTCCCAAAGCCAAGGCTGATGGCCTTTCCGTTTTTGCATACTAACTTCCTGGAAGTCCCAAAAGAAAGCCAAGCATAATGTGAAAAATACTTCAGTAAAGATGTGGTAACAAATGAATAGTTTGTCCAAGAATGTAAGTCTGAAAACAGACATGATGATCGTGAGCTTCTGGGGCTTCAAGTAGCACAATTTTGTTCAAATGGTACAAAACAGGTGGCAGAGTGCACCATGATGACTTGTCAGACCTAAGTGGATGGACTGAAAGGTGCGTTAAAACAGACACACACACATGCACACGCACGCACGCACGCGCACACACACACAAATGCACACCACTGCCATGAATCCAAACTATAAATTTGCCATCAAATAGTATCCCAGCTCTGGTAACTATTGTGCCAACATTTTCTTGTAACTTTGTTTCTTTAGCTTCTGTTTCTTGGTGCAGGGTCTGGGACACCGCTCCAGCAACCCTCCTGGTCCACATCCCTTCGTAGCTGGGACCACAGGCGGGTGCCACCTCGCCTGGTCTCTTTGTGCACTCAGGGGACTTTCACTCTCTGCTGACCTCTTTGTCAGTGCCAGCTTGTATATTTTTGGGAGGGAGAGGAGGAATAGAAATTGCTTGGATCTCTATGGAAAACCACTTGGCACTTTCTCAGAACATTACAGAATTATTCAATCTCCTTCTTCTGCTTCACTGTTTTATTTTGCAGATGGTGACCCCTCCATCTGCAGCTGAAGAACAGACCCAGGGATGCGCACACCGGATGCAGACTGGCATATGCCCACCATGCATCGCCAGAAGCGAAAGACGGCAGATGACCCACGTGCCCCTCATCAGTGGAATTGGCTAAATACATTAGGAGACACCTATACTAGAAATCTCCTTCAAGACAGAACCACAAGTTCCTTTCGGATCCAATATGGAATATTCCCAAGAAGTATAGATGCGTTAAAACAAACAGAAAAAAAAAAAAACATAGGCGAATGTGTTATTAAACTGTGTTTTGTGTAAGAAAACACATGGTACCGGGGTATGGCTCAGTGGTACAGCACTGGCTAGGAAGTGCAAGTATATGGGAGTCAGGGGTTCACTCCCCAGTACAGGAAGAAGGAAACAGACAGAGAAGCAATAGATTCGTAATAGATTTTTATATGGCTTGATTTTGGAGCCACTGTAAATGCATTTTTCAGAAACATTTTAAAATACTGTTATCAAAGCCAGGCATGGTGGCGCATGCCTGGAATCCCAGTCCTCAAGAAGCTGAGGCAGAAGGATTGCAAGTTGGAGGCCATCCTAGGGTTTGTAGTGCGTTCAACGCCAGTTTGGGCTACATAGCGAGACCTGATCTCAAAGAACCAAAAAATCTACCTGTTATTATTGAACAGGTTATCAAGCTACAGGAAAACACAAAGGCCAAATGAGGGTCATGCAAGTGATGATTTGTTTTTGTTTTTTGAGACAAGTGATCCTCCTGCCTCAGCCTCCTTAGAGCCAGGATTACAGGTGTGTGCCACTACACCCAGCCAGGTGACAATTTTGGAAGCACAGAGGACTTCATGGAGCAGTGTGTGAGCCAGGTGAAGACTGGTTAGAAAGGAGAGAATGATGGCGGCATGATGACCCTGGCTCCTGTCTGTGCATCCTGGCGGGTGATTTACATCACCCCTGTCCATGGAGCTGGTCTGATATTGGCTCATCCTCGAGAAATATCACCACGTACATGCAAAGTCAGCAATGCCATGGAAATCGCTTTACTTTTAGTACTGAGGATTTTACCCCAGGCCTTGAGGGTGCTGGGCTGACTCTCCACCACTGAACTATGTCCCCAGACCCTCAAAGATCAGACTTGAGTCCACTTTAGCACAGGATTCTCTGTCATGTGGAGGAGGCTATTGTTTTGTTTTTGGTGCTGGGGCTGGAACCTAGGGCCTGTGCTCTGAGCCACAACTCCAGGCGTTTTAGGACAGGATTTATCAGATAAGTAAAAGGACCCAGCCTGATTTACTGGCCTCTTTGACCTTAGAGGTGGGTCTGTCCTGAGTAAGGCTGCTGCATGACCTATTTCAGTATGAAGGTGGGTGACTGTAGCAGGTGGCTTTGGGATGCTTCGTATCTCTGCATCTCCTGATCTCTATCTTATTTTTCTCCCGGAGTGAGACCATGAGAGGAGCAGCTGAGTGTTAGAGTAGGTGATTCCTAACCTCTGATAAAGTAAAGTCAACTTCGTTTTTACCAAACTCGTGAAATTGCTCAATAATGCTGAGGTGACTCATTGGAGTACTTTATAATCACAGCTCCCTGCAGCCTGCAAAACAGTGTTTCAGGGAAGTGGATCCAATTATGCTAAAATCTCTCTATGCAAAGAACAAAGAAATGATATTTACACTGGTGGACTAAGACCATGGAGAAATTTTCTTTCACTTCTTTCTGTATTTTCCAAATATTATTTAGTGAACACAAACTATTTTATCATTGAAAAACAAAACAAAAAACCAAGAAACCCCACCACAACGAATGCTAAGAGGTAAGAGGCGAGATTTATAACCGCATCTGTCTCCTCTCATCCTCCCAGAGGCGGGGAAAAAGCCCCAGGGTTGCCCTGGGTTCATTTCTGGAGACCCAAGCACCCACCAGGCACCTGCTTTGAAACCTTCACCTCATCAGCACCAGGACAGACACAGAGTCCTCCCGAGTCCTCCCTGTCTTTAACCCTTTCTGAATGCTCCTGGGAGCCACTCTAAGGGGGCCTTTGGCTGGACTTAGCACTTAGCCTCCAGGGGACAGTCAGAAGCGCTCCTCAGGACGCCTAAGAAAGCATTTCCCACGTGACCTGCACACACTCTGCTCCTCCAGCAGCGGCTGCCTCCTGGGGCCTCCGTGCCCAGCATCACAGGCACCCTGACCAGAGTAAAGCATGGAGGCTGACAAAGCGATATCTAGATAGGACGCTGTTACAAACCCAGTTAACGGATCCCACCTGACAGACACACCTCAGAGTGACTGCATCTGGGCCAGAAAGTGGAATCCTTTGATTCCTTAGAAGTCACTGCCAGCGGGAGGGGAAGAGGCAGCCCAGCCCTGCCCCCACCCAGGTCACCCCGGGAGGCCTGCACAGGCAGGGAGCTCTGGTGCCCACCAGAACCCAGGGGAACATCGGGGTTCAGGCTGCCATTAGTTGCCAGCACTCCTAGAAGGCAAAGGGGTGGGTAGATTTTGTGGCTTTTGTGTGTGCACACATATGAGTGTGTGGGTATGTGTGTGTAGTACTAGGGGTTGGACCCAGGGCCTTCTCACAGAGCTACATCCTCAGCTCTTTTATATATATATATTATTTTTTTTTTCTTTTTTTTTTTTGTCTTTTTTGTTTTTATCGGTACCAGGGATCGAACTCACGACTGCCTGCTTGCAAGGCAGGTGCTTATGCCGCTGAGCTAAATCCCCAGCCCCTATTTTTTTTTTCTTTTTTGAGTGAGGGTCTCACTAAGTCACTAAGTTGGCTAGAATGGGCTTGAGCTTGAGATCCTCCTGCCTCAGCCTCAAAGAGTGCAATTTCAAGACTTTTTGTTCCAACTCCTCCTCAGCTGTACACCATCTCCTTAGCAAAAGCACCCAGCTGTGATCCAGTGACTCACCAGCTCGAGCTCCACAGCAAAGCCCCCATGTCCTTTAAAGCTTTCTGCCCCAACAGGGATGCTCCAAAGCAGAGGTGCTTGGGACACAGAGGGCCCAGGGTGATTCTTGAATTCCCTTGATTAGGTGGAAGCCATCTCTCCTGATACCTGGGCTAGAAGGTGAGGGGGAGCAGAAGGGGACAGCTGGCCCAGGGCTTGGAGAAGAGCGACTGGCCCGTGCCTCCTGCCTCTGTGTTCAGGCCTCTGGACCCTCTGCCATGGGCACGGTGAGAGGTGGGCTGCAGTGCAGGCAAGGAGGGCTGGAAGCCGGAGGGAATGGGGGCTTCGCTGCAGAAGGAGGCCCTAGGGATCCCCTGCCTCCCCTCAGGCTGAGCCAGGCTTTGCCACACGCTCCATCTTAGTTTTAGGGTTCCAAAAGTCTGCCAGAAAAGCTCCACATTTCCCCAGCTAAAGGACAGGAACAAGACAAGACTGGGGGGCATTTTACACACACACACACATGTGCGCACATGCACGGCTTGGAGTAGGGCCATCAGAGTCCACTGTCTGGGGTGTCCACTCCTCTTGTTTCAAAGCAACAGGCAAGTAAGTCCACTGGTCTGGTTTTATTGTTGATTTTGTTTTTTAATGTTTCTGTTTTCTGTCTTTTTGAGATGGTCCAGGCTGGCCTTGAACTCACAGCAACCCTCCTGCCTCAGTCTCCCAAGAGCTGGGTTACAGGTTTGTGCCACCATGACCTGAGTTTGGCCTGGTTTGATTTTTCTTTTGGTCTTTTCTTTTGGTCTTACTATATAGTTTACGCAGGCCTTGGGCTCACTTTGTAGCCCAAGATGGTCTCAAACTCGCAACAATCCTCTTGCCTCAGCCTCCTGAGTGCTGGGATTACAGGTATGCGCCATCTCGCCCAGCTCTGGCCTGGTTTTGAGCAAAGGTTATGATCCTGCTACTTGCTTGACCATTCGAAAGTAAACTGATGAGGAATGGCACCAGAGCTTGGAAAGGGAAACGAGGGAACCCCCAAACACAAAGGGGTTGAACAAAATGGTGCCCAGGAAGCCAGGTTTATGGGCAGACCTAGCATGGGTCATGGGTCAGGAACATGCCCTTCTGGGTACACATCCTCCCTGACAGTCTGACCCGAAGTCCTCTGCACCACCACCGCCCAACTTGAGCTCTGATTCAGATTCCCCAACACCATGCACTGTCATAAAACCAAGGCAAACTCTAACCTGAGTTTTACAAGAAGACAGACTGGTCCCCATGTAGAGCTGCTAGACAAAATACAAGTGATCTATATTTTATTGCTAAATTGGGCAACCCTACATTCATGACCTCGAATCTTTAACCTCATTTCATTTCTGTTTGCTTGAGACCGGTTTTGCCTGACAGTCCAAGCTGGGCTTGAACCGGTGGCAGTTCTTCTGTTTCCCCCTTTCAACCCGAAGAGCTGGGATTACAGGCGTGCACCGTACCAGAATCCTAGTTTTTAAACATTTTAAAATTTATTTTAAAATTCAGTTCTTAAAACACCTCACACCATCGGTGCAGGTAAAGTCGTGGCAGACACTGTGCGCCTGCCTTGCACTAGCCGCAGCACTGGCCTCGCACTCTCCTGTCTTCTCTCCATTCTCAGTCGATCCTTGCCACTGTTTTTTGAGATGTTTTTCTTCTCGCACAGTCCGTATCCTACCCATCCATGTTTGGGTTTTATTTTTTGCATAATCCAGGGGCTCTTAAATTGTGCCAAAGCCAGTCAACTTGTCACCACCAACAGGGACTCCAAGATTCACTGTGGTCCCCATACATTGTCACTAGATTTTCCTGAGTTGCTGACCTCCACGCTGCTGTCTTCCAAAGTGAAAGACATCTGTGGCCATTTGTTTTCTCTCAAGTAGTCAGTCGTGACCTTCTGGGTCTGGAGAGCTCCTGTGCTGTTACACTTCGGAAGAACGATGTCTCCCGGAGGCTCATGTGCTCTGAAGCATGGTCTTCAGAAGATGAGGTCATGGGGATGCTAATCCTCATCCATGGACTGGTCCAATTAATCCACTGATGAGCTCCCAGCTGAAGTGCTGTCAGGAGCCTCTCCTCTCCTCTCTCTCCTCTCCTCTCTTCTCTCCTCTCCTCTTCTCTCTCTCTCTCTCTCTCTCTCTCTCTCTCTCTCTCTCCCCCTCTCTCTGTGTAGCACTGGCTGGTCTTGCACCTGCATGTGCCCCACCCTGGCTTCTCGCAGCCCACTTTCTGTAGTTGGGACAGAACACTCGACCCCAAGGAGCTCACCTTGGGCACAGCCCAGAAATGAAGGAGAGGTCCCACATCCAGCCCAGGCCACGCCGGTGACCACACTTACGGCCTCTGGGCCCAGCCCCTTGAGCTTCCATCACCT